TCAATATCTCCAGTTGTCTTGATCTATCCACTATTTTTATTTCTCCTCATCCTTTCTTCTATCACTCCAATCTGATCTTGCTCCAAATTTTCTGTAACCCCTTGTGTCCTAGTTTTCTTCCCGCCTTGCTTTAAAAAAAAACAGTTTTCAAATAAAAAAAAAAAAAAAAATGAAGAGATTTTTAATATATATGATGGATTCTCCCATCGAGTTCAACATATGAGGTTCTGACGACCACAAACTAATTATCTGCATGCCTATGACGGGCATGTTTTTTGAGACCGGCTCAAGAATTGTACAAAAGACCACAAATAGTACAGGAGAATGTATTGTTTCCAAGTACAGTAGGAACACTGTTAGATGTCTTATTTTGCTTTCGTGTTTCATGTAGTCGACTGATGCTTACTTCTCAGTGCAGCTATACCAATGTTGTACTCCAATGCGACCAGAGCTGTTTTTCTTTCTGGTGCTGAGTTGTTGTCCTGGAGAATTCATACATTCCAAGTGCCAAGATGAAGTTGATGTTGTTTTGTAGAATTTTTTGCAGTAGCCAGATATGTGTGGAACTAATTAGATGTAGTTGTCAGAAAACCAACACAATGATTTGCTTCAAGTGGTGAAGGCTTGTGTTGGACCATCCACACTTTTGGAATCTGTTGATAAAAAAGTAACAGTGCAAAAGACTTGCCACAGAAACTCTGAAAGACAGTCCTCATATGTTATTATCACAGAGCTTAACATCTCCAGATCACAGTCAATATCAGCCAGTACATACCTCTCGGCAGACACATGCAATATAATGACCAGCTTAAGCTGTCATGAGTTTTCCTTCCCATCTAAAGTCTTTTTATTGTGAAACCAACACTAAAAGGATTGCTAACCAAAGTACAAAGAGACTCCTTTCAACCTCATCAAGGGCAGCTAGTCTGTGCCAGTTCTCAACCTGGTACTTTACATATGAAATAACAATATAACAATAACAATATTGGGGAAATTGTAAGAAAGTGGAAAAACTTTACTTGTGAAGCGTTTCATCCTTCAGGACTTCATTGGACTAAATTTATGTTTTTTTTTAAGAATTTCACCCAAAGCAAGGTGAAAGTGCTACTAGCATGCAGTGGGTTACAAATAATGAAAATGAGAGAAAAAACTAGGTATAGGGGTGATGGAAGAAAGGATAAAAGATGAACAAGGTTCAATTCAACAGAGGATGGTGGTTGATGCTGCATTTAAATTTTTGAAGATTGTAGGTATCAGGGAAGCAGGTAAGAGGAAGGGAGTTCCACAGCTGGTAAGTGTGAGAAAAGAAACTTTTGGAGTAGCAGTGACAGTTATATTTAACTATTTCAACAGTAAAAGGGTGGGACCTAAATGCTAATCTAATAGCACACTTAAATTCATGCAGTCAGGGCATCAGGGATAAAAGCTTGTCAGAGCAGTTGCAATGAAAATATTTGTAGAAAAAACATAGGGAAGTCACATCAAATCTGTGAGAAAGTGACTGAAGTCGAGATGCCAGGTCAGGATTGATTATATTGCAGATACTTCTTTGGATTTTTTTGAGAACCTCGAAATGAACAGCACCAGACCAGATATGGCAGCTGTATTCTAATAGATGAATGAATTGTAGATTTGTATATGTAGGGACTCGGAGGAGAAAAACTTTCTGATATGACACAGAGAGCCAACTTTCATTGAAGTAGATGCAGCTATTGATTCAATGTAGTTATTACACCTCAAGTCAGCAAAAAACATGAGGCCAAGAAGGCGAAATGAGATGCTTTCCTGGAGTCAAGCATCAACCATGCTAACAGTAGGCAGGGAAGTTTCTCTATGGTGGTTAAATAAGAGCAGTTTAGTTTTGGAGGCATTGCAATTTACAAGCCACATCCTGACCCAGTTAACCACAGATTGGAGGTAATTTTCGAGAGCAGTGGTTGGTTTAGCTTTGTCAGTACTGCTGGATTTACTATTCAAATGTTGGTATGACTAAACATGCATACAAACGAGGGATGCACTTTTTTATTTTTTATATCTAGCAAAATTCATTTAGAATCTTTTTCTTTTCCTTTCAATCAATTTTGTTTGTAGGTATCCCACGCTGTGATAAAGGAGAAAATAATTAATTACGATGTGAATGTCTAGTGAGTGCCTTGATAGCAAGTTCGTCTACTGTAATTTTGCACCCCGGCTCTTACAACATTTTACAATTCCTGGAAGATCTTCTATTATAATGAGCCAGAGTTTGTAGCTCACAGTACATTGGGACAGAGAATTAGAGAAAGAGATAGAGACTCCTCCTTCTTTGTAACAGGAAGTCATCATGATTAGTTCTTTGGTTGTTAGTGGGGTGAACCAGCCTGTCCCACTTTCTGGCAAAAGGGTAGAGAGAACTGATCTGGAAGCTCTTTTTTCTTGGGTTTATATTGGGGTCAGTAAGTGGTTGGGGAGTCTGGTGAGTGTAGGTAGGATTGTCCTTAGCTTTGATACAGAGTCTTTGATCTTTTGTTTGGTTTAAAGATTTTTTTGCTTTTTATTGCATGTAAAAACCAACATACCAACATTATTCCTCATTTCAAACATTATTTCTCAGCATTTTAATAGTGGGAACATCATTTCGTTTCTTGGGACTGCTCAAGAGTGATAGAGGAAGGAGGAGGAGAGAGGGAGGCAGGTAGAGGGTGGGAAAGAGAAGGACAGAAAAAGAGAGAGATACCCTTCTTATTTGTAGCAGCTAGTCATCCTGATGAATTCTGTTCAGCACTTCTTATAAATGGAATATGAAAGGAATGAGGACAAGTCAATTCAGGGTATGTTGAATGGTGGCTCCTAGCTGTGAAAGTTTTGGGGCTTGAGGAACCAAACATCTGCCATGAAAATAGTGGTAGAGTAGCCACAAATGAGCACATTTTGTCTGTGGGACAGGGATTGTAGGGTGGAAAACAATTCATCATCCACAAAACCATCCAAGCACTTTACAGCCTCAATTAAGGCTGTAAACTGAGGATTTGAGATGTGGAAGCAGTACTCTATGTTTGGTACTTGGATATTTAGCCAAATGGACATTTGGCCGCATGAACATTTGACCAAGAGACATTTGGTTGAGAGACATTTGGTCAAATGGACATTTGGGTGATGGACATATCACTGAAAAAGTACAAGTAAAAATAGCAACAAGCAATACCTTATGTATTTTAATTAGCAGTATTATAAGATAGAATAATTACTAATGTATTTCAAGTGATTAAATTACTAAATCTAAATTTAAAGTTAATAGTTTTCTTATTTCATTATTTGTTTATTGAATAGTATTTATTAAAAATATTTGAGTGTATTTGGGTAAAAAAGTAGCACCTAATTATTTAAATTTGTATTTAACAGTAAGATAAAAGCTAGTTAATCCTTTTAAGATAGTGATCATTAAAAGCGAAATTGAAAGATTTTTCCTATCATAAAAGAATAAGATTTTTACTGTAGTAAAATGTGTTTTTTCTCAAAATACTTATCATCTTACAATAATATTTGAAGTAAAATATAATATATACAGAATAGATTTTTAAAAAAAAAGCCTGTCAAAAACAAAAAAAAATTATAAATTAATGCCGTAAATAAATATAAGTACATATATCACATTACGATAAATAGTGTGACGTACATGTAAATTGTGACGTACACTAAATTTTTGGCTAAATGTCCATTAGGTTAAATGTCTGAAGCCACACACTATATTCAGCATTCACTATCACATAGAAAGACTGATATTACATAACAATTCAGTATTGTTGCCTTTGTTTCTAATGAAATATTTCTAGTTCATAATAAATATTACATTAGTATAGTGTCCTTTTATAGTCCCAGTAAACAGAAATAGCTCTCTCAAAGTGGAGAGTAACAAAACAAGGGAAGACCACTCTTGATCATTCAAAATACCCTCATTAATACCAGAAAAAGCAATAAAAGCTACTGCACTTGTGAAAGTGTTTTAATAGAAAGATTTTCAACCAAAAACAGCACTGGCTGCTTGGTCCATGAATTTCAACTGAAAACAGTATTGGATGCTTAGTCAATAAATGCTAAATGTTTCCTTGTAGGGAAACAGTTAACATTACCATTCTGTAGAAGCAGATTTCTTTTGTCTGTTCACCATCTGTGCAGAAATTCTTCAGCATTCACTACTATATAGGAAGACTAATATTACATAACAATTTAGTATTGTTGTCTTTGTTTCTAATGAAAAATTTCTGTTTCATAATGAATATTACATAGGGTTAAGATGCAGAATAACACTTTCCATGTGAATATACAAAATAAAAGATTAAAATAGCTAAATTTCTTTGATTACTCTAATTGTGACAACAAACACATCTTGAAATGTCCTTGTTAAATGTTATATATTTCAATTATTAAAACATAATCATTGAAGAATGCAATTCAGAATTGTCCAGAAGAATATATTATTTAAAATATTTGAAAACATTTAGCAATTAAATGAATAAAAATAAATCTCTAAAAAAAATTTATGAATGATTATTTTTTTCGCAACACAAATATCTGCAGAATATTTTATTAAAAACGTAATTAAAAACATTGTAAACAAAAATTCTGTTTTTATTTTTTGATTCAGGGCATCATTTTATGCAGCTTGAAATTAAATTTTCTATTGATTTGATTTTTCTAGGGACAGATCTTTTAAAATGTAAATATTAAAGTGTCCAAATTATATTTTAAGATTTCAAAAAGATTAAAGTCTGATTATGATTGGCTTTGAATTTCCATAATTTGTATCACATCCAAAATTGCCTTTACATAAATAAATTCAATCAAAAATGAATAAGTAATGAAAATATGCACTCACAGGTTTTCTTCATCTGTCTAAGGATAGATACGAAATGGGAAGAGAAAGAATGACGCTACAAGAAGAATATAAAACATCTGGTGAAGAAAAATAAAAATTATCTGGTGCTGAAGAATGAAAATAATCTGGTGTGGAAAAATGAAAATCAATCATTTGGTGGGGAAGAATGAAAGTCATCTGATGGAGAAGAATGAAAATCATTCAGTGGAGAAGAATGAATATCATCTGGTGGAGAAGAATTAAAATCATCTGGTGGGGCAGAATGAAAATCATCTGGTGGGGAAGAATGAATATCATCTGGTGGAGAAGAATGAAAATCAACTGGTGGATAAGAATGAAAATCATCTGTTGGGGAAGACTGAAAATCATTCAGTGGAGAAGAATGGATATCATCTGGTGGAGAAGAATGAAAATCAACTGGTGGATAAGAATGAAAATTATCTGTTGGGGAAGATTGAAAATCATTCAGTGGAGAAGAATGAATATCATCTGGTGGAGAAGAATTAAAATCAACTAGCAGAGAAAATTAAAATTATCTAGTGCAGAAGAATGAAAATAATCTGGTGGAGAAGAATGAAAATCAATTATCAGGTTGAAAAGAATGAAAATCATCTGTCCAGGGAAAATGAATCCCATCTAGTGAGAAAGAATAAAAATTATCCAGCGGGGATGAATGCATATCCTCTGGTGGATTAGAATGAATATTATCTTGTGGGAAAGAAATTAAAATAATCTGGCAGGAAAGAATGAAAAACATGACAGGGAACAATCATCTGGTTGAGAGGAATGAAAATTATCTCATGAGGAAGAATGAAAATCATCTGGTGGAGAACAATGAAAATCAACTGGTGGAAAAGAATGAGAATCATCTGGTGGGAAAGAATGAAAATCATCTGGTGGAGAGAAATGAAAATTATCTCATGAGGAAGAATGAAAATCATCTGGTGGAGAACAATGAAAATCAACTGGTGGAAAAGAATGAGAATCATCTAGTGGGAAAGAATGAAAATCATCTGGTGGAGAGGAATGAAAATTATCTCATGAGGAAGAATGAAAATCATCTGGTGGAGAACAATGAAAATCAACTGGTGGAAAAGAATGAGAATCATCTGGTGGGAAAGAATGAAAATCATCTGGTGGAGAGGAATGAAAATTATCTTATGAGGAAGAATGAAAATCATCTGGTGGAGAACAATGAAAATCAACTGGTGGAAAAGAATGAAAATCATCTAGTGGGAAAGAATGAAAATCATCTGGTGGAGAGGAATGAAAAATTATCTCATGAGGAAGAATGAAAATCATCTGGTGGAGAACAATGAAAATCAACTGGTGGAAAAGAATGAGAATCATCTGGTGGGAAAGAATGAAAATCATCTGGTGGAGAGGAATGAAAATTATCTCATGAGGAAGAATGAAAATCATCTGGTGGAGAACAATGAAAATCAACTGGTGGAAAAGAATGAGAATCATCTGGTGGGAAAGAATGAAAATCATCTGGTGGAGAGGAATGAAAATTATCTCATGAGGAAGAATGAAAATCATCTGGTGGAGAGGAATGAAAATTATCTCATGAGGAAGAATGAAAATCATCTGGTAGTGTATAAAGATGATGGAACTAAAAGCAATTTGTGTCACAGGTCGAAAAAGACAGTGTTTAATGGAGGGATATTATCACAGCCTTATATCCAACACAGGATGAAGACAATAATAAATATAATTGTACCAAAAAGGTACCAAAGCTTCTTGCTCTTTAGCTCAGTGGGGAGACACTTTTAACCTTTTTTTTACTATTTAACAGCAAAGATTTGGCCTACAGTGACCTCATTAAATTTCTTTCTTTGTCCAACATGAGATCAAACTCTGGGAAACCAGGAAAGCAAGATTGTATTACACAAATCTAATCATCATTGAGAACCATTTTTGTTCTCCACCAGCATGGCAGATTCTAAGATCCAGGAGAGCAATTTATTTCTCCTTGATCTCACATTTTCTACTGACATGAAGTGAATCAACTGTTAGGTCTCCTGCTAAAGAAGGCTGTTTTACTTTGTCATGTAAGGCATTTTTTTTCTTGTCAGAATCCAATTTGCAGATCTATAAATCGACCATTTTTCCAGGCATTGAATATTGATGACATCTCTGGTCTGCAGCTCTGGCTATATATCTCAAGATTTTTGACAAACTGCAAAGAAGAGTCTGTAATGTTATTGGTCCTCACCTGGCATCACAAATTACGCTGCTTTCCCACTGCCATGATGTGGCTTCCCTATGCCTTTTTTTATAAATATTTCAATCTTCAAAAATTTTAATGCAGAATCAATAGACATTTTCTGTTTCTTGAAACCTTTTATCTATAACAATGAGCATTACAAAAGTGACAACAAGTATTTGGTGACATTGCAAAGTGGCCACGAGTGTTCAGTGACATCACAAAAAAGGAAAGGAAATTGTGGAGAGCCATGATCACCGACGTCCTGAAGGGACAAGGTACATAAAGAAAATAATAATAATAATAATAATAATAAGATGAAGAAGAAGAAGAAGAAGAAGAAGAAGAAGAGGAAGAAGAAGAAGAAGCTTGTGTAAATGGACTGCAGAACAAGATTTAGGAGGGATAATAAAAACAAGATTTATTATGAGTTACCAGGGACAGTAAATTGTGGAGAACTATGATTGTCCACGTCCTAAAAGGACATGGCACAAAAAAAAGAAGAAGAAGAAGAAGAAGAAGAAGAAGAAGAAGAAGAAGAAGAAGTATGAGCTTGAGTAAATGGATGGTGGAATAAGTTTTAGGAAAAATAAAAAAAATACAAAATTCATTAAGAGCTTCAAAGGACAGGAAATCGTGGAGAGCCATGATTGCCAACGTCATGAAGGGACATGGCACAAAGAAGAAGAAGAAGAAGAAAAAGAAGAAGAAGTATGAGCTTGAGTAAATGGATGGTAGAATAAGTTTTAGGAGAAATAAAAAAAGACAAAATTCATTAAGAGCTTCAAAGGACAGGAAATCGTGAAGAACTATGATTGCCAACGTCCTGAAGGGACATGGCACATAGAACATGTATTTTATTTGAAACTGTTCAAACAATAATATGCATACTTAATACATAAAATAATAACAAACAACAGAATACATAGTGTATGCTATCAAAAGCCTTAAATAAATATGAAACATTGCAAAAATATGAAAAAACTTAAACAAAAGACTCAATATTTTTGTTTTTCACAAAGCAAAAGAAAATAGCAGAACTATAGGAAATTAAACAAAAGGGAAAAGAATATTTAAAAAAAACTCTTTTCTTTCTGTAATATATAAACAAATATCAAACAGTGGTTTTAAATCCAATACAAAAAGATTAAAATGCAGGATGATCTTTCATTGTTATTTTTAAAGTAACGTTCGACTACTACATGATTAACTGAAACACAATGCCTAATATATAAATGGTACTTTCTGCCTGCCCTGACCATTTTGTTGGCAGTTAGGTCCCATCATTCTATGTGTGCGTTTCATAAAACTCTTGATAGATGGCTCTGTTTAAGTTCTATAAAAAGACAAACATTTCCTCTCTCTTTCTCTTTCTCCCTCTTGCTTCAAGTTGTAGTAGCATGTAGATAAGTATATCCCTGCTGGGTGGTGTTAGTTTCCCCTGCCCACTAATGACTGACTTCTCTTTCCTCTTTTCAACACATAACATTGACACATGTCTTCCAAACCCTCCACCTATGAAGTAAAGTAACATTTTCTTTGGTCATTCCAACTCAGCACAAGGCTAACTTGAGCTCTATCACTAGAAGCAAGCTTTTTACATGACTTGTCTGAATTTATGTCTGAATCAGAAAAAGAATCTCTCTTGCACATTCAAATGTATATTGTTAACATGTTGGACACTTTCATGTGATATAATGGTTAGCAAGCTTGACTGCATAGTGAATTCTATTTTTACTGAGTGCTCCACACTTTCAACATAGTACTACATCTAAGGTACAATTAGAAAATGGTTGGGTACTTTGACATCGTGTAATGGTTAGTAAGCTTGTCTGGATAGATTTAATTACGACTGAGTAGTGAGTTTGTTCTTCAAGGTTGCTTCATCTCACTGCTTAGAAAATCACTACAGTATATTAATATATATTTATTAATTTCCATTTTTGGTAATCAGTAGTAATGGCTAATGTATCATTCTAATTATTAATAAATACAGAGACAGTAAAAAACAGAGATTTTATAACAAGCATTATAACAATAAAAGAATCAAAATAAATTATTATTAAAAGGTTCTCAAAGTCCTTTCCCTGGAAACAAAATTCTTCATGAAGAATGTACTTCAAGAGCCTACTAATAACAATCAATATACGCAAAGCCTACAAACATGATGTCTACTAAAAATACACTACAGTGCAAAAGTGAAGCACCCCCAGAATTAGCATGGGATGAATTTGACAGAAGAGTGAAAAAAATGAAAAAGAGCTCTTAGAGTCATTGAAAAAAGAATGGAATCAGTTATCAAACTTATCCTTTGAGAAACTTTTGTGATGAATGCCAAAATTTTGTGCTGCAATAATCAATATTAAAGGAGGATATTTTGATGAGAGCAAAATTTAATCATAAAATGTTTTTTTCATTTTATCATAATAAAATTTCTAATAAAAATCATGTATAATTATTTTCTCTTATTTAAAGTACAAAACAACTACTTATTGGGTCAGGGGTAGCATCAAACTTTTGAACTCTAGTGTACACACACACACTTACAAATAAACGTTATCATCTGAATCTCACATAGACAAGCAAGAATTATTATACACTGACATACATAAAACAATATTTAAGTTTTTTTAATTTAGGCTTGAAATCTGTCCATTTCTTGTAACTTCTAATGAACTCAAATTCATTGAATTCAGAATGCCACAAATTATACTAATGTTTGTTTAACAAATTTTTATGTGTCATTCATGAGCGATTATGTCTCTCCACAACTTCCGATTCTTTGTAGCTTTAAGATATCCTCTGCTATGGACAACAAAATAAGAATATGTGTGAAGGATTCTTCATAGTTTGTCCTATTTTTTTTATGTTTCCTACAAGGGAAATAATGACTCTCCACAACTTCCTATTCTTTATAGTCTCCCATGGACAATGAAATAAGAATATGTGATGGATTTTTCAAAGTTTTTTTATGTACCATCATGAATGATCATGCCTCTCTACAACTTCCTATTTTTTGGACCTCTAAGATATCCACTGGTATCAACAACAAAAGAATAATATGGATGAAGGATTCTTCATAGTTGGTTTTCTTTATGTATCATAAGTGGGTGATCATGTCTCTCCACAACTTCCTATTCTTTGTACCTCTAAGATATCCACTGGTATCAACAGCAAAATGATAATACAAGCAAAGGATTCTTTCATAGTTTGTCTTCTTTATGTATTGTATGTGGGTGATCATCTCTCCACAGCTTCCCTATTCTTTGTACCTTATCCACTGGTATCAACAGCAAAAGGATATTATGGGCGAAGGATTCTTCATAGTTGGTTTTCTTTATGTATCATAAGTGGGTGATCATGTCTCTCCACAACTTCCTATTCTTTGTATCTCTAAGATATCCACTGGTATCAACAGCAAAATGATAATACGGGCAAAGGATTCTTCATAGTTTGTCTTCTTTATGTATTGTATGTGGGTGATCATGCCTCTCCACAACTTCCTATTCTTTGTAGCTCTAAGATATGATGTAAAAGATGCTTCAGTGTTTGTTCAGTTTTTATGTAACATATATGGGCAATCATGCTTCTCCACAACTTCCTAATGAATGTGTTGTATCTCATTGAATTCAAAATGACACAAATTATACTAATGTTTGTTTAACAAATTTTTAAGTGCCATACATGAGCGATCATGCCTCTCCACATCTTCCTATTCTCTGTAGCTCAAAG